CTTTTGCTTAACCCATATTTACTGAATTGAATGGGATGAAGGTGAATTAGTGGATTTAGAATGCTCTGTTTATTCACCTCCTACAATGAGGAAACTGAGCCCCAGAAAAGTGAATTGATTGCTAAATGTCAAAAGACAGGTTGTGGCAAGCTGAGACCAGATACTTCTGAAGAGCCTCATAGTCTAATAAGGAGGCATGGATAACACACTCATAACAAGTACATACTACTGGGTTTTGAGTACTATTGAGTTCAGGTTAAGTGATTAGTAAGTGTGTGTTGAATGAAAAAATTGATCTTCTCTCCAATTGATTAATAAAGATGACATCTTAGGCTTGGCACTGAGCAGCCTTTTGGCCCTCTCCACTTTATAATCTGATGTCAACATGCTAAGGACATTGGAAGTACCTGATTATTTATATATATATGCCACCTAATCCTATATAATAAAAGTCTAATATGCAAATTGACCAAATGACCAAACAGCAGAACGACTGTCTGGATGGCCTTCCAAATAACCACCCTATGACATACACTGGTGCCAGACAAGCCAAGTCGAGTATGATGTGATTGGCTGGGAGTCCCTGCCATTGCCCCACGATCACCCAATAGAGGGAGGCCCAGGCCACTCTCTGTGGGGCAATTAATGGGGGGGGGGGGGCTCCATGATCGATTGCCCCACAGAGGGAGATCCAGGCCACCAGCCAGTGATGCTGTGGTGGGTATGCAGGGCCAACCAGTTATCACCCTTTAGAGTAGAGGTGTCGAACTCAATCAGAGAAGGGGCCAAAATCTAAAATCCAGCCTAAATTGCGGGCTGAATGGTTTACTGAACAGTCATAAACTGTCATTGTGATGGAAACGCAGTGGAGTGCAGTGATGACAGCGCGGTGCGGGCCACATTGCAAGGCCTGGCGGGACGGATTTGGCCCGTGGGCCTTGTGTTTGACACATGTGCTTTAGAGGAAGGCCCAGGTCTGCCAAGCAACCACACTTCATGCCTATTGCCCACAGAGGGAGGGAACCAATGGCAGGGGAGGGGCAGCACTACACAGATGGCAAGCAGTGGGTGGGAACAGGGCCAGCTGCCAGCATCCAGGGGAATAAAAACCATGGCTGATCACCCACTAGGCCTAGGAACCTTACTCGAGGGGTCCTGGATTGCTAGAGGGTACAGGCCAGGCTGAGGGACAATTACCCCCCCCCCTAATTGCACAAAATTCTTGCACTGAGCCTCTAGTTAATTATAAAGGCCAGTAAGAGTTAGTGAGAAGTTAAACTGATAAATATTTTATAGTGAATTTTGTGCTATTTTTAAATGGAAGAGAGAATAGGTATTCTGTATGTGAAGATCCTAACTGCTTCTGAGTTACCTTGAACTAGAAGGCAAAAAAGAAAAATTGAGGGAGTCTTAAATTGGGTGATTTGGAGTACTTATGCATTAGATAATTTGAGCAGAAGGCATGAAGACAAAATGTGGAATGATAAAGCAAAAAATAAAAGCCTGTAGGAGAATAATGACAAAATTTCAGGTTGATCCAGAACTGTCTCAAATCTAAATTTTTGAAAGTACAGCAGGAGGTTAGCTAGTTGTCTAGTTCAAGGTGCCTGGATTTACTATGTTAAATAAAGGGAGAGATTTGGTCATCAGCTAAGAAGCTATTGCCAGAGAGGTGGAGAATAGAAAATGTGTGTGGGTTTTCCTCATAAAATGGAGTGTAAACATAATATCCTTTTCTTGAAAAAAATGTTTTGAATCATATTTTTTTCTAAGGGTCACCTATGATCAGTGCCTGACCACTGTATTTCTTTGGTTTGGTGATGTGGGTGGAGGGGAGAGAGATGCAGGGGTTCTAATCAGGTGACTACTAGGCACTTTGTCTGCACTGTCTCATTGGCCCATTAAAATGCTGGCAGTCACACCAACACTGAGGTCACAAGGAGGTTCTGAGGTTCACTAAAGTGCAGGGCAGAATGCAATTTGTAAGCTATGAAGTTTCTCATTAAAATCCTGACATCTGCCATTGCTAGAAGCACAGTCGTAGTAGTTGATGATAGGAGATGTTGCCCTGAAGGCAAGAGGGGATACTGAAAAGGAAACAGAGAAGGGTTTTTAGAATGATGGGCTCACATTTCACATTTAGTGTGGGCCAAAGACCTTGGTAAGGATAATGTATCGGAGAATTCTGGAACTTCAGCCCCTTTGCTGCATTTGCCACTCTTCATGTCCCTGTGAAGACTATCACTAAAGGTGTCAAAGTGAAAACCTGTGGCCTGTCTGACTGTTTTAGAGGTGGGAAGTCAAGGGGGTGAGTATATTAGAGGAAGTGGTATAGTGAGCTATGTTTTACATTCTGTACATAGTCGGGAACTGTGAAAAGGGGGAAATACGTAGACTTAATGGATCCTGTGGGGAGAAAAGAGAATTTAAGGTTTACCAGGCAGACGAATGGGTTATTCCCATCTGGGCTATGGGAGTCCTTTCAAATACAGGCAAGAATAAAGTACTTATTAAAAAAAAAAAAAAAAAGAATAAAGTACTGCTAAAAGGGGATCCATGAGCCGGGACCGGTTTGGCTCAGTGGATAGAGCGTCGGCCTGCGGACTGAAAGGTCCCCGGTTCGATTCCCGGCAAGGGTATGTTCCTTGGTTGCAGGCACATCCCCAGTAGGGGGTGTGCAAGAGGCAGCTGATCGATGATTCTCTCTCATCGATGTTTCTAACTCTCTATCTCTCTCTTCCTCTCTGTGAAAAATCAATAAAATATTTAAAATAAAATAAAATAAAAAAATAAAAGGGGATCCATGATATGCACCATGATAGTTAGAATTCCCTCATAGTAGGTGGTGATCTGCCTTCTAAAATCCATGGGAACACATTTCTTCATGAGGAAAAATATCTGTCTTCCACCCTACCACACACAGGTTCACCCGTTTATTTACTTGATTTCCCCTCCCTTCCCCCCCCCCCCCCCCCCCCGCCCAGGGGATGTAAAGCTAAGTGTGGCCCTATGCCAACATTACACACTTTAAATGTGGTCCTTGGCACAGCAAATCTGAATCGAGGGACTGGCCATTTGTTCAGGCCTCTGAGGTAGACAAATTGGAACAGACTTCAAGCCTTCAAAATGCTTACCCCTCAGCAACCTTGTATGGTGTAGGATCTTCACAGAAAATAAGGAAAGGCAGGGTTTCCCTTTTCTCCTATAAAGGAGTCGTCGTCTTCCATACCCTCTTTGCTACTGGATTACACTATTTCCAAGCCAGAGCAGGAGTGGTGTGAAGGGCAGAGTCATATAGATCTTCAGATTTCCATCAGAGAGCTCAGGTGAAGGCCTAGACCCTGGAGCCTACCCCATCAGGAGAGCCCAACAGGCAGAAAAGGGTTTGACTGGGCTGAGCAGCCTCGTTAGTGATAGGGTGAATCCTTAGGTTAATGTATATCCATTAGACATTTTTTTTTTTCTGGTGTCATATTTCCTTTCCTGATCTGAGAGTTACTCTGTAGACTTTGGTGCGAATTTAGCTGCATTTTCACTGAAATGTAAGACAAGTCTGTGTACATGAAAACATTCTGAGGTCTTCTTTTTAAAGAGTTTCACTTGAGTGTTTGGGTCAGATGATCAGGCACAGAGAGGGTTTAGAAAGAATGAAAGGTTTGCACTGATGTGTCTGTAAATGTTTAACAAGCAACTTTCCAAAGGAAAAAGCCCTATGATAGTGTTTTCTGATTTCTATAGTGTAAATGTCGGGCTGCGGTTGATTTCAAACTACAGACATGAGGGTCTCTGAGTGTGGAGGTGGGAAGATATTCCAAGGACCAGCTTGTATGAGATGGTAGGAGCTGGTCCAGCACTTTCCCAGCCAGCAGTCAGAACAGACACAGCAGGGCTTCCCCAGAGGAGAAGAAGGAATTGGAACTCAGAGACCAGATGAGGCCAATAGGCGGGAATCAGTGTGGGCAGTGACAGCAACGTATGAAGACAGGCAGGAGGTGACAGGCCAGGGGCAGTCAGCACAAAGCCAGCCATAATAAATGGTTACCCAAAGAAAAAGAGCTACTGTTCACTGAGCAATAGTATGTGTCAAACTCTAGATTGTCACTCACTCTCACAGCATCTCTGTCAAGGGTCTTTTTATCTGTCTTTTACAGACAAGGCAATTGGAGCAACAGAGAGAGAAAATGTTGGCCATGTAAGAAGTGGTGGATTGAGAATTCAAATCTCAGGTCTGTCTATGCCATCCAGTGGGAGGGAGGCTGGGAGCAAGCCCAACAGGTTATGGGGCTGCTGATGGCTAACTCTGATTTCTGAGAGGGCTGACAGCTTTGTAGGAATAAGGGGAACATTAGATTATGAAACCAGAAATTCAGTACCAGGGACAAGATGTGTCACTGGACTTAGTGTGCAAGGTCAGAAAGGGTCAGAAAGGGATAGATTTGATAGTGAAATACAGCAAAAGCCTTCAGCCCTGGAGTGGAGCTGAACATTAAATTGGGTATTCTCTGCATGTTAGCCAATGAGGGTATCAAGAACCAAGTTCTTACCTGGGCTTCTGAGGAAGGACCCTGTGGAGGGTGACTCTGGACATCTGTTTTATATCAATATGCCATCTACAGTACTTCAAAATTGTAACACAGTCTGTGGAAGCTAATTTGCTTCAACCATCTTATGAGATATATTCTATTATTATTCTCATTTTAAGTAATGGAGAGGATAGGTCACCCTTCTATTAAGTGTCAGAAGCAAGATTTGAACCTCAGACACTCTTGAAATCTGAAACTTCTATTATTAGAGCAAACTATATAAATTGGTCTTTTTTTAGGCCTTTTAGGTTGAATATTGGTAATTCCACATCATGTTATTTTTACCCTCTAGTAGTGAGAATATCCTAGAAGTAAACAGATCTTGCTGCTCCAGTGAGTAGACCCAGTGATCGATCTCAACTGCATTGTGGTGTCCTATTTGTCATATGTGATGCCAACAGTGATTTTTTTTTTCAGGAACAAAAAAGAGGGTAAACGTGAGATATTCACACCTACAGGAGTTACCTGGTTTCCCTTCAGGTAATGAACACTGGAGCAGGATCTAGGAAGGTATCGCCCACACTGGTGACAGGCATATAGGGAACCAGCATGGTTCTGGCACAGGGTGTAGAATCAGTGATGAACAAAGATCTGATGTTTGTGTGAGATTTCACACTGAGATTACAAAATAATCTGGTTCTCTCCTGGTGCGTATACCAATTCAACCTCTTGGCACAGGGTTAACATTTTGGATCAGAGTAAATCTTGGTAGAGCAAATGGTGCTGAGATGGAAGAGTTAGGCTTTGCCCCAATTGTTCCTCCAATGGCTGAGCCAGATGACTTCAGGAAAATCACTTACACTCCCGGGACCTCTGCTCAGCGGGAAGGCTTATTCTTCCCAGCTTTCTATCTAGATAGTCGGAAGGATTTTAGCAGCTCAGAGAAAGCAAGTCATTGTGAGCTGAGGTTAGGAAGAAAACAAACAAGCAAAAAAACAACCCCACATTTTTAAGGTAGGAAACCAAAGGTTTAATCTTGTAGGAAAAAGAGGAAGGCAGCATGGCAACTAGTTTGGATGTCTGGAAAGATTCACTATCAGTGAGATAGTGGGTGGGTCAAAGGGTAGAGCGACAAAGCACTCCTGACACTCTGCCCAAATCTGGCACAGTGCTTGAGTTTCTGCCAAAGCCGCATCCCAGGGCCTCTGCTCTCTGACTCAGGGCCGGCACCTGCTGCTCAGGGTGATTACTGCCAGTGGCCACCACCACAGCTGTGGGCTTCCTGCCCCTGACTGCCCCAGGCCTCTCTCAGCCTCATTCCTCCTGGCCTTCTCTCTTATCCTCTTACTGGAACAACTGTGAATAATCCCCTCTCCCCTTATTTCCCCCTTCCCCAACACACCCACCTGCCCCTCCTGATTCTGCCAGCAGCTGGTCAGTGCACAATGCCAAATCAAACAGATGTGGGTGGTATTGGCCAGCACATGTGAGCAGGCTCTTTGACAGCCCCCACCAACCCTCAACTAGTTGAAGGCTGGGCGGGCTCTATATAGACAAGTGGTCAGATGCCATTGCCGCTGACTCTGTGTTTCCTCCTTGTCCTCCAGACATTCTTTTTCTTTCTCTCTGTTCAGCACCTCTTTCCTTTCTTTGTTGCTTGTTTTTTGTTTGTTTGTTTGTTTTTTGTGTGTTGTTTTGTGTGTGTGTGTGTGTGTGTGTGTGTGTGTAATGTTTTGTTTTAATTCTTCCTTATTAATCAAGCTCCCTTTAAGGATAACATTGAAAAAAGAAGACAAAACTTGGCCTTTTAAAACAGGTTTTAAAGTTCAAGTTCTCCAGATTCATAAAAGACATCACAACAGGTCAGAAATTAACCAGTAAAAGAATAACAGCTGGTCCCCTTCACCGCAGCCCAAGCCCAGGATCTTAAAGATATCACTTCCTTCCTTCCTTTCTTAGTCAGTGGCATGCAAAATTAAAGGTAATTCTCAGAAGTAGGTGCCCTTGCAAGCCTCTTTGATTTTTTTCTTTTCAATTGGCTGTCTACTCCCTCCTGCCTACCTAAATGGGGATGACTTGAGAACAACAGCAATTAAGTTCTAAAATCACACTAAAAATAAAGTCAGCAGGTCTAGTATCATGACACGGAGTGTTGATTTTTTTTTTTTAAATTTTTAAATATATTTTTTATTGATTTCAAAGAGGAAGGGAGAGGGAGAGATAGAAACATCAGTGATCAGAATCATTGATCTGCTGCCTCCTGCATGCACCCTACTGGGGACTGAGCCCACAACTGGGGCATATGCCCTTGACTGGAACTGAGCCCAGGAAACCTTCAATGCACAAGCTGATGCTGGGAGATTTCTCCATGTTTTAATCTACATTTTTTCTTATAAGCATAAGAAGAGAATCAGCTTGCATTCTACATAGCTTCTAGCAAAAAACAAACAAAACAGTAACAACACAAATATCAAAAAAAAAAAAAAAAAATCCCAACAGAAAGAAAAAAAAAAAAAAACCCACAACAAAATAAATCAACCAAAGGACTTGTATGCATATAAGCATAATCAATGGATGCAAGACACTGGGAGGGGAGTGAGGGCATGTGGGGGTTGTGTATGGGGGGAGGGGATTGGGAAGGCTTGAGGAAGGTCAAGGGGGGAAAAAAGGAAATATATGTACTAGTATTTGTAATATTTTAAATGATAATATATATATTCACTAAAATAAATAAATACATCAATAAATAAAGTTGTACACACGAAAAAGAGACAAATAAAACAAAATAAAATTAATAATTCATATAGATTATTTTTTTCAAAATAATGGTCTTAAATGTTGATAATGGTTAGTATCTACCCGAATGTTTCAAAATTTCCCAGACATGCATGCCTTTCACATTTGTCAATTGAATAGAAAATGCAAGCTTACTGAATCAGCCCTTGGATAGGTTTCTGTATATAGCTTAGGAGGATGTAGACATTTAAGAAATATTAAATTATAATAATGTGTTTCTCATTTTGCCCAGACTTCCAGTAAACTCTGAGATTAAACTAATGCTTAACCCAACAATTATATTAGTCCTTGCTAGTTCTTTTGCTTAAGTGTAAATTTCTGGTTCTCTTTTTATACCTCAGTGTTTACATTCTTTAATGTGATAAATAGTCCAAAATTATTTTGGGGAAAAAGGATAGTATACTAAGTAAAGGGAACCCATAAAAATGACTTATAATGATGATGATTCATGCCACTTCACTTTTTACCTTTAATTAGTTATTTATGTACTTGGTGTAAGGGCCTCATTAGACTGCAAATTCCCTGAGGGTAGAGCCAGGCCTTCTATGTCCCAGTGTCTCCCAGGGGGTGGGTGTTTAGTAAGATTCTGTTGGATAAATACAGCCTCAGGGTTAATTTTAGAGGCAATAGAATGATGTTTCCTTCCCCCCTTTTCCATTCCTTTTCTTGTAGGCCTTTCTCAAAGTGGAATCTATTGACGTAATCTTTGCACTCAGACAGCTCTGAGCTAATATACAGGGCTGCTTCTATGGTGCTGGATGAGAAATTATTTTCTCCTTTGAAGTCCATCATAAATATATTTTTCTTTCTCTACAGTGTTCTCTCTCTGTTCCTGCATAATGAACCCAGTAATGTTCTCCTATATAAATAATAACCACTTATATTTACATAACCATGGGTAACATTTGCACATACCTTCCCAAAAGGATTTGAGATGGACATCTTAGAGGATTTTTAAATTTTACAAGCACTCTCAGATGCAGTTGTAACTGTTATCAGGTAATATTTATTGTGTATTTATTAGGTGCGAGACTCTAGAGGCAAAGGTTTTTTGTACACTATCTCATTTAGACTTTACAGTAATCCTAGGGCAAAGCTACTGATAGCTCTTTCAATCCAAGGAAGCTGTGAGGCTCTTGAATTTGCCCAAGGAGGCACAGGCAGGAGGGAGCAGGACTGGGATTTGAACCTTGAGCTCTAGCTATCAAACCCAGACTCCTACTCCTCTAAATACAGATAATCCCTTTGGGTCATGATTTCAGCCTAGTGAGACAGGCAATGTGGGGTAATGAACCCTGCTGCACAGATGAGAGGAAAGAGAAAGCACAATACTGATTGAATCCCGGGGAGGTTCTGGGTAGTATGCTTTACTCAAAGTGACTTGTTTTGTCCTTCCAGTCATCCTACTCTATTCTACAGTATCTGTATCACAGATGAGGGGACAGGAGATGTGAGTGTTCAGTCAACTTGCATGGCCGCTGGAACAAGAAGGCAGGATTTCACCCTAGGTCTGTTCGGCTCTAAAGTCCTTCTTTTTTCCACTGTACACGTGGAGAAACCAGCTCAAGTTCACATGGTGGCTTAAAGAAAAACAACACTGAGTTCATATTCCAACTAGAGTTTGTTCAACTGCCCTTTTTAGGTTCTGATGTCCTTCTGGGATCAAAAAGTGCAGTGTCTATCTGGCTCTTAGGGGTGGGGGATATAGCATCTTATTATGACTTGACAAGGCAAATGCAATTGGATTTCCATCTCATTAAGAGCAGACAGAGAATAGCTTTGGAAACCAAACTAGTTTGAAACAAGGGTTCCTGAAGCTAACGAAAAAATTAGCTGGAGTATAAATATTTCTCTCTTTTCTGCATCCAGTGTGGCTAGAGAGTGGTCCTGTTCCTGAGTAGGGCTGCTGGGGATTAAGAAAATGAAAGAAAGAGACAGACACAGAGATAGAAGGAAAAAGCTGGGTCCAGGTGGGACAGCTGTCCTCTAATGGAGAGACAGTGACCCAGAGCCAATATAGCTTATTTATTTTATATTGCAAAAACAGGAAGTTTATTAAAGTTCAAGACAAAGCAGATTATGTGCATTTTTTTGTAAGAGTCACTTCTGGGTGGGTCCAGATAATCATGTTTGTTCCTGGTGATTGGCTAGTGCCTGAGCTGAAGGTCAGGCTGACAACACTCCTGCCTCTGGCAAGATGTGTTTATAGGACGTGGCTCTGCCAACACCACTGGATTCAGCTGATGATAAATGAAGAAATGCTCATGTGCCTTCCCAGGCGCTCTCTCCACTGGGGCTATGCTTTTTCATTCCTTAAGAATGTTCAACCTCATTAAATAGAAAAAAATCAAGTGGAATTTTCTGATTTTTGTCAGGTTCTGCACTGGGCAGGGACTCTGAGGGCATGAGACATATATCTACGGCTTCCAGTCCACACTGTGCTATAAATAATATCACTGTGGTGATAAAGACCTAACCTTCTCAGGTGCTGATTACCTTGGCAGGATAGTAACTTGGTAAAGTAGACATACAAGAACATCATGTTCTCTGCTTCAGGATGCCAGACCCCTGCACAGCCACCTCCTACTGCCGCAAGATGTATAGATGGAGTAGGCAAATGGTTGGTTTTTGTAAAGTCCTCCCTTGGGCTCTTTCACAGATACCTGACATGAGCTGGGCATAGGGGTCCAGCCAGAGGAAATTTCACACTTTCCCTATGGCCTGTGGATGAAACAGAAGAGTCT